AATGGAAAGTACTCAGTAGTAAATATGTAATTAACTGTAGAAAACTTTTCCTTTTAATTTCTCATATAACTATTGAAAGCAAAAATCTTAACATTGTATTAAAAATATTCTGTATACATATAAAATATAACTATAGTATAAAAAAATGGGCTTGTGGCTCAACGTAACTGTAAAATTGCAAGATTTTTACATTTCATTTGGAGTGGTACAATCAATATTGACTCTAAGCAAGCCATAAAAAGTTATGTTTTAATTTTTAGAGAGACCACTCAAATATAAAAAATAGTGTATCCAGGAGAGACACATTTTAAATAGACAAATAGGTTGAACATAAAAGAGGAGAAAAATTTATACCATGTAAATAAGCACAGAAAGTTAATTATACTAATATTACATAAAACATTTCAACAGGTATATTATGTAAGATAAAAGGAGAATATTCATAACAATAAAAGAGCCAAATCATCTGAAAAGCATAATTCCAATGTATGCACCTAATACCAAAAGTCAAAATTAATGAAGACTGGTATCATTTAAAAGGAAAAAATAGAAAAACCCATATATTTTAACTGGGAGATTTTAATACTCTTCTTCCATTGATAATAGCAACCTAACAAAAAAGTCACCAAGGGGCTGGGGATTTAGCTCAGTGGCATAATCGCCTGCCTTGCAAGCGTGTGGTCGTGAGTTCGATCCCTGGTACTGATAAAAAAAGAAAAAAGAAAAAAAAATCACTAAAAATATCTGAAAAAACTATCACTCACTTGACCTACCTGACATTTTTTTTTTTTTTTTTTTTTTTTTTTGTCTTTTTCATTTTTATCGGTACCGGGGATCGAACTCATGACTGCCTGCTTGCAAGGCAGGTGCTTATGCCGCTGAGCTAAATCCCCAGCCCCCCTACCTGACATTTTTATAACTTTAGAATACATATTCTTTTTTTTTTTTTTTTTTTTTTTTGGTACTGGGGATGAACTTATGACCTTGTGATTACCAGGGCAGGTGCTTGAGTCACTGAGCAAAATTCCCAGCCCATATTCTTTTCAAATACAAATAAACTGACTATACACTCAACCATAAAACATGTCTCAATAAAGTTTTTTTTTTTTTTTTTTTTCCAGACAGGGTCTTGCTATATAGTTCAGGGTCCCTTGGACGCCCTGTGTAGCCCAAACTGGCCTCTAACTCACTGGCTCTGTCTCCCAAGTGCTAGAATTACACGTATTATGCCATTATGCCCAGCTTAATTAACTTTGAAGAAATGAGGTTTTACAGGATGTGTCTCTGGCAATGGAATTAAATTAGAAATAAAAAATCAAAAATTAAACTGCGTGTGATGCACACCTGTAACCCCAGCTACATGGGAGGCCAAGGCAAGAGGATCATGGGTTTGAGGCCAATCTGGGCAACTGAGTGAGACTATCTCAAAATAAAAAGACGAGGTATGTAACTCACTGGTAGAGTACTTGTCTAACATGCTCAAGACTTTGGGTTGAATACCCAGTACTTTCAAACAACGACAACAACAACAACCACCTAAAATAAAACCCCATCAAAAATATATCTAGAAACAGGGCCGGAGGTTCAGCTCAGTGGTTTAAGTGCCCACTTGGCAAACACGAAGTTGCGAGTTCAGTCCCTGGCACCACAAAAAAAAAAAAAAGTCCCAAGAATATATCTAGAAAAAAAGAAAACATTTGAAACATTCTACACAATGTGGAAATTCACCAGAGAAATCATGAGGAAAATCAGAAAATCTTTTAAGCAGGATGAAAACACAACACATCAGTTTGCGGGATGTGGATAAAACACTGCTTAGAAGAAAATTTATAGTTTCAAAAGTTTATTTTAAAAAAGCCAGCTAATGTTCCATTTTAAAAAGCTAGAAGAGAAATGCAAAGTAATATATACTGAAAATAAGTAGACTGGAAATAACGACATGAGTAGAGATAAACAGAATAGATCACAGAGAAAATTGAAAAGAGTAATAAAACTGCCAACTACCTAAGAAGAGTAAGAAAAAATGAGAGAAGATGTAATTTATCAGCGGAAGGAGTAAAAAGTGAGACTGCAGACTGTACAAAGAAAGGGATAATAATGAAATGTAACTATGTCAATAAATTCAATTACAGATGAAATGAGCAAATTCCTTAGAAGTACACTTTGAAGGCTGAGGATATAGCTCAGTAGCGTAAGTGCCTGCCGAAGGAGAAGGAGAAGGAGAAGGAGAAGGAGAGAGGAAGAGGAAGAGGAAGAGGAAGAAAGATGATCTGGGGAAGAAAGATGATCTGCAAAGGCTCTGAGATTAATCTCCAGTTCCACCAACACACACACACACACACACACACACACACACACACACACACACACTAAAATACAAACTCTGGATACCTATAAATTTATTAAAAAATTAAATTATTGAACTTTTTACAAAGAAAACTGCAGGCCCACATAGTTTCATAACTAAATTCTTATCAAATAATTCAGGAAGAGATAAAGGCAATGTTACACAAACTCTTCCTAAATAAAAAAAGAGGAAAATTCCCTAAGTCATTTTATGAGGTCTGTGTACTCTGATAAAAAAACTGAAAAGACATTACAACAAAAGGAAATTATAGAGCAAATCTCTCAATATTTAACAAAATATTAGCAAATCAAATCAAGCTTCTGTTGAAAGCCTAACACACCTGATAAAGTTGAGGTTATTTCAGGGCTATAAAGAATAATTAATGTAATCTATTACATTAAAAAGAATAAAGGTAAAAGGCTATGTAATCATTTCTGTCTCTCCATATATATATATATGAGCCACTGATGATAAAAAGCCCTTTGTAAATTAGTGAAAGAAAAGGATTTCCATAATCTAACAATGGGCATCTATGAAAAATCTAATATTCAACCTAATGGTGAGATAGGGAATGCTTCTCCCCAAGATGAGGAAGAAACCAAGGATATTTCCTCTCACTACTTCTATTCAACACTGTATGGTTCAATAAGGCAAGAAAAAAATCATAAAAAAGATGAAACTATTTGTCTCTAGAAAACATAACTGCATCTGTGCATCCTAAAGGAGCTAGGGCTGTCAGAGAGCCAATCTTCCTTCCTTTTCTCCTTCTTCCTGCCCCCACCGTCTGTCTCTTTCTCTCTCTTTCCTTCCTTTTTCTTTTCTTTCTCTCTCTCTCTCTCTCTCTTCTTTTTCTCCCCTCCCCTCTTTCTTTCTGTGTGGAGACTGAAGCCAAGGCCTCACACATCCTGTGTAGGCAGGTGTTCTGCCTCTGAGCTACATCCCCAGCCCTGGATATCCATTTATTTTATGAATGAAATAATCATCTTTCCGTGGATCCATAAATTCAACTCCTAGCTATTTATGTAAAAGAAGTAAAAATATATATCCTCACAAAACTTTCACAAGAACATTTAAAGCAGCTTAATTGAAGATAGCCTCTAACTGGAAATAGCCAGTGTCTATACAAGAATGGATAAATGGGATAGTCATTGAATGGATTATTACTGCCAACAGGGATTAAAGTACTGATATGCCCAGTGACATAGGTGGATCTCAAAAGCACACTGGGAAAAACCTTAGAAATGTGTACTAAAGTTCTGGAACAAGAATAACTAACCTCTGGTGGAAAAGTGTACAGATTAATGGCTTGCCTCTTCCTGAAGAGGGGTGTAACTGACTGGAAAAATGCAAGAGGCAACTTTTTTTTTGTACTAGGGACGGAACTTACAAACTCGCACTTGCCAGTCAGGTGCTCACCACTGAGCAAAATCCCCAGCCCATGAGGCAACTTTAAATACATTTCAAACTTTAGGTAATATCTACACTGAAGTACTTAGGAGTGAAGTACACTCCTGTCAGCAATGTACTTTCAATGCATCGAACACAAGAGGAGCTGGGAATGGTTATGCATGCCTGTAATGTAGGCACTCTGGGAGGTTGAGGCAGAAGGATTGCAAGTTGGAGCCCAGCCTTACTAACTTGGCAGCTTAGTAAGACCTGTCTCAAAATTATTTCTTATAAAGAATAAAAAATGACTGGGGATGTAGCTCATTGTGAAGGTCCTGGGCTCAAGCCCCAATAATATAATAGTAAAAGGAAAAATAAAAAACAAACAAAAAGCTCGAAAGGGACTAAATAATAGACAAAGCTATGCACAGATATATGGTTTGTTTGTTTGCTTATTTCATTGCTGGGACTGAACTTGGGCACTGGACACACTAGGCAAAGGCTCCCTCACTGAGCTACACTCTCAGCCATGGATATATGGATTTTTTTTCTTTTTGAGATGAATTTTGCTATGCAATTCAGGCTGGCCTTGAACTCACTTTGTAGCGCAGGCTGGCCTTCAACTTGTGGAGAACCTCCTACCTTAGTCTCTCAAGTGCTGGGATTAGAGGTGTGTATCACCATGCCCAGGGAGCCATGGATATTCTTTAAAAAATTATTTCCACTGTCTTGAATGTTTGAAAATTTTCATAATAAAATGGTGAGGAAAAAAATTATACTTTCAATCCTGCTCACTCACATTGCCTGTATAAACTACTTGAATTTACATGAAGTTGACAGGGGGGTCTTATAAGTCATGATTGTATCTTTAAAAAAAACTTTATAAGAAATAAACCAAACCATCCCTTCTCATCAAATGCATAAAATTCATTTGTACAATGATTTACTTATTATCTAGGCCCTGACTGTGGCTCAGATGAAAGAAGTGTGCAGTTTCACGCACTGTGCCTCTGCTCAGATGCCTGTTTTCCAAACCAAACACTTAAAGATGAGCATCTGTGCTGACTGCAGCCTTTAGCATAATGAAACCTATTTGCTGAGCTTAGCATCTCAAGGTGAAATGCAAGGTAATACAATGCCAACAAAATAAATCACAACACAATGCCAAGAATAACAGACATTTTACTGTTAAGGAGAGGCAGCACCTAACAAATTAAGAGATTCAGTGTTTATATCTTCAAGGAAAAAACCATCTGAGTTTAATTACCTTTATCAAGAGATGCTCCAGCCATATGGTAAAAGCTCAACGCAGTGTCCACGTCATTAATATTCTTTAGAAAAGTAAAGAAGTTCTCCACCTCCTGAAATGTCAGACCCTGAAAAAGGAGAGACAGAAAGGTAAGGAGAACCTGCAGCAAAGCAGCTGAAAATTCCGCAACTCAAAATCTGTGCTCAAGCCAGGTGTGGTACACAACTGTAATCCCAGCACTCAAGACTCCATCAAGAGAATTGTGAGTTCAAATTTAGCTACATACTGGTAGTGAGTTCAAGGCCAGCCTGGACTACGTAGCTGGACCCTGTCTCCAAATGAAAACAAAAACAACAAACCAAACAACAATAACACCCCACCCCCCCCAACAAAAACAAAAACTCCCCAAATCGGCACAGAGACTGAATAAAATGGTCAAAGAATGTCATATTCTAGAGTTTTACCCTGAGAACAAACTGGCTTATTCCTTTCCTCTCAAAGGTCAAATCTGATATAAAGCTGTTTGCAATGATGGCTGGGTATCTTTAATGAAAGTATTTCAGAATGTTTTCCAATTAGTCACAGTATTTATTATGACACTTCAAAATGGGCTACAGCTACTAGATCTGTTACTCACTTAAGAATATTAGAATGGTACTGTCATTTGAGTAGTCTGCTCACAGGCCAGTTACGCTTTTGAGGCTTAAAGTCAATTAAAGAATCACCAAAGTCAGAGGAATATAGAAAGGTTTCAATATTTAGCACAGCCAAATCACTAAGCAGGCTGTCCAGTATCTCAGTTTAAAAGTTACTAACAAATAACTTGCCCCTTACCTTTATTTATTTATTTTATTCTTTTGGTACCAGGAATAACCTCAGGCCCTCACACTTGCCAGGCAGGCACTGTGCCACTGAGCTATCCCTGTCCCCTAGCCCCTTACTTTAAAATGATGAAATTCTGTGAATAAAGAAATTGTTTTCAAAAAGTATTTAAAGATTTGCTTTTCTATCTACCTTTGGTGGCCCAAAGGCAGTATTCATATGAATCAGGGCAGTATTTGCTTGAATCCTCTGCAGGGAGGCAGAGCGGTCCTTTTTGCTATCCCTCGCCTCCCACACATCATGCTGTGATGGAAGTGAGTCGTTTCCAAGGCGTGAAAGCGTTGGAGAGTGGCCCAGGCATTTTTAATGATGCATCAGACCCTTAATGGACTGCAGATGTTGACAAGCTGTGACATAGCGCAGCTTCCCTTTTGATTTTCATTCCCCCAAACTACAGCTCCACACCAAGATCACAGCAGTAAGGAAACCTCGCACAGACAATCCTCAGTTCTTTCTCGATACACTCCAAACTGGGTCAACTGTACTTTCTCGTCTTACCAAACAGAAAGCTAAAATACTGTTTGTATAATTGTGTCAAATTCCTTGTATAATGCTTCCCTTGAGAACTGCAGAACTTAAAAAAAAACCCTTTTTATTATGAATATCATGACCATAAAGAAAGGTACATAAAATATGAATGTACAGCTCAACAAACTGCCATAAAACAACCAGCAATAGAATCTTCATTTGGGTTAAGGAACAAACTGCAGTCAGCATCCCAGAATACTCCTTCTCTCCCACAACATGACCCTCCCTGCCCCATCGTAAATTCCACGCCCACCCACGGCCCTAGGGATAACTACTACTTCCACTTTTAAGGGATTTATTTTCTTGATTTTTAAAAATTTAAATAGCATGTCTACTATTTATGCATCCTTAAACAGAAACAGTTAATTTTGTCTGTTTTTGAATTTTGTAAGTGCAATTACACAGTGTGTATTGTTGTATATGGCTTCTGTCTTTAATATTTGTTCATGTTTCTGTGTATTCCTGTACTTCATTCATTTTTACCACTACAAAGTGAATGTACTACAATGTATTTATCTATTTCGAATCAGCTATTTCTAACTTTTGGAAATTACCAACAGTAGTGCATATGTATTTAAGCATTCATCCAAACATTTTATGAAGTACTGCATCTATTATATACCTAGGGTCATAATTATTGGCAGTAAACTCCAAGTCCTATGTTATGTACTCTGCCCCTCATTTGAGGTCATTCTCTTGGCCCTGACTAGAAGCGCCCAAGTAAATAGACACTATGGTACCCTATTCAGTGTAAGCACTAGGATAGACTCAACCTGCAAAAGCAGAATATCCCTGGGGAGCCGTACCACATCCCTGCCGCCTCCACTGCCCAACAGGCTCCAGGCTTCCCACTCCCAGCGGTGCCGTTTCACATTCTGGTGTCCCAGCTCCTTAGATATAACACCCGGGTCTAGTGAAAGCGAGTGTGGGCAGCGTGCATGCGGTGCTCTCTGACCTCCACCTGCAGCACTTGCTGCTAAAGCACAGCTGGCCAGAGGCTGCACTTACAGGCTGAATGCTGTAACTGAGGACATGAACACCAGTGTCTGCTGCCCCAGGTAGCCCTGCCCAGGCCGGGGGAGGAATGTGGGAAGTGTGTCTCATAATGTTTGAGAAGGTCGCTGGAGAGCCTAGAGGACTCACTTTGAAACTAAATATGAAACAGTCCTGTACTGTGGCCAGATTCTTCATGTTGGCATGATTCACAGATAAAGCTCCTTCCCATGGAGGATGAGATTCCAGAAACAATAGCACATATGGGATGAATCATATATATACTTTTTTTTTTTTGGTACCAGGACTCGAACTCATAACCATGTGCTAACAAGACAGGCACTTATGCCACTGAGCTACATCCCCCGCCCTATATATACATATTTTTAAATTTATTTTTTAAAAAACGGTCTTGCTCTGTAATTCAGGCTAGCTTTGAACACACTATATAGTCCAGGCTGGCTTCAAACTCATGGTGATCTTCCTGCTCAGCCTCCTGAGTACTGGGATTACAGGCATATACCACTATGCCTGGCTAATTTGTCTTAACTTTGGAGAAAGCACTGTTTAGATATTTCTACAGTCCCCAAATGAGGCAGCTATGCTATAGTTGCCTGCTTTTAGGGACACTCTCAAAAGCAATAAAAAAGTTGCTGTGAAAATGACAAAAAAGAGCTGGGGATTTAGCTCAGCAGCACAAGTGCTTGCCTGGCAAGTGTGAGATCATGAGTTCAATCCTCGGTACCAAAAGAAAAAAAAAAAAGAACTGGGGATTTAGCTCAGCCATGTAAGTGCCTGCCTGCTCAGCATGAGGTTGTCAGTTTGATCCACAGTATCAAAAAACAAAACCAAAACCAAAAAACCCAACAAACAAACACACTAAAAAAAAAAAAAAAAAAAAAAAAAGGACAAGAGTATAATACCACTGGACTGGAAGTACAGGTTCTGTAACCCCACAGCTTATGGATGGATACACTGCAAACATTTTACTTTCCCCTCCATCAAATGACATGCAAAAGTCAAAGCAATCCAAATGTCTTATCAATGGATGAAATGATAAAAAAATGTGACACATGTGCAACACACACAGACACAATGGGATATCATTCAGCTTTTTAAAGGAAGGATATTTGGATAGAAGCTACAACATAGATGGGCCTTGACATTAAATGGATGAAATAAGCCAGCCATAAAAGGACAAAAAAGTAGAACCATATGGCTGCCTTGGAAGAGTGGTTACAGTCATAGAGACAAGAAGTAGAATATAGCCAGACATGGTGGCACACACTTGTAATCCCAGCACTCAGGAGGCCGAGGCAGGAGGATCGTCTTGAGTTCAAGGTCAGTCTAGACTCCTCTTTTTGGTTTTTTGGTCTTTTTGAGACATGATCTCAAATGCAGTTCATGATGACCTTGAGTTTACTTTGTAGCAGAGACTGGTCTCAAATTTGCAAAGATCCTCCTGCCTCAGCCTCCCAAGTGCTGGGATTCCAGGTGTTTACCACCACACCTGGCTAACCCTGTCTTCAAACAAACATACAAACAAAATAGTGGCCTGAGGAGACAGGGAATGGGGAGTTTTGTTTAGTGGGTAAGGAGCTCCAGGTGGGAAGGTGAACAGAATCCTGTGGATGGATGGATGGTGGTAATGGTTGCCTAACAGTATGAATATACTTAATGCCATGAATTGTATACTTAAAAATGAAGTGGTAACTTTTATTATATATAATAAACTTTCATTATATGTATATATTTAACACATACACAGCACAGGCTAATGAGTTTTGAAGCCTTTTCTTATTAAAGTATGGATTTCTGTCGGGGATGGCGAGGTGGGGACTGAATTACTGAAAGGATTTTTGAGGTCTTTTACCTAACGTAAAATCCCTAAAGCAGAAAGGACATACTAGAGGAAATATTTCACACTTTAGTGTTGGCCAGTTAATATTTTGTGAAACATTAAATACTAAAGTCCAAGACCAGGCTGCTTATGCTGAGAATTATTTAAGGACACAGAGAGAGAACAATGTGAACTGAGTGGCTATTCATTTGATGATTTAGAAAAACAGTGAGGTACAAATCACATTATGTCACTATTAAATCTAAATGTATAACACTTTGCCTTTATTACATAATATAATAAAAAAAATCCGTTGAGCACTTACTAACTACTCAGCACCATGCCAAGAACAGTGAGAGGAATAAACTGCATTGGACATGGGCTTTGATTTTATGGAGCTTATAATTTAGACAGTCTCCTGGAAGAAAAGATGCCAGTCACAAAATTCTTATTTCTTAATATCTACATTAGTAACGAATTCAGAAGGTTATTAGAATAAAACTAAAGTAAGATTATAACATGAATTTTGTGGATGTTAACATGCAAACTGAAAGTATTTGCTTACTGCAAGATAAGTACAGACCAGAATACCATAGCTTATGTATAATCTATTGGCAGATGATTTGAATCACAGACATAGCAGTTGGAAGGAAATAATATCTTTCTCTTAGGCTAGGAGTAAAAGGGATTTTCTTGACCTACAATGGGGAGAAAAAAAATGGAGAAGTCATCTCTCATGACAAACTAGTTACCTTCCTATCTTTAGAAAGATAAGCTTACATAAAATCAGGCTCTTGGTGACTCACAAAAGAAGTAGATAGTAGAGACTTCTTTAGGTTGAGTAAAAATGAATTTAACATTAGTAGGTCGTTAAGCAAGCTTGT